CCGGTATGGGTTAGCAGTTCCGAAACTACTTCATGTGGATAGGACTGGATAACTGAGTAAACGTATTGTAGATAATGAGAGCTTTCTCACTGTCAGAGACAATGTATAAATAGGGGGCTAAAATGCACTTGTGTGTTAGATTAGACGCAAGCTATCAGCATAACTCATGTTTTATAATACCCACACAGAAATCTTTGTGTGTTTTGTATACATGTATTTCCTATACATATGTATTTACATATTTTCACATGCATATCTATTTCCTAGCCCTGTCCACTGACAAGACCTGGCTGCAATGACACTTCAGCAGCAATGAGCCTATGGCTCAGGGGGAATAACAACATAATTGAGACTTTTTGCTATGTATGTATAGTTCGATAAAATTTTTAAGAAAACTCATGGCTTTTCTTTTACTCAATACAGATATGATAATTACAAGAGTAGTATCAGAATATAGGTGGTTTTTTTTTTCCCCAAAGGCCTTTGGAGGTCCATAAGCTGAACAGTAAAAGTAAGCAGTGAGAGAAAGAATGAGAGGCGTTAAAATATCTTAAAGACAGTAAAAGAAAAAAGAATTAAGGTAACATATACATAAGAAGTGCATTAAGTGGAATTAAGTTGTGAACCAGAGGATAAGAGATTCCTTTTACACTTGATGTTGCAGAAAGATCTGGTGAGGGTGACCAAGAGGGTTGGCTAGAGGCAGCTTGACTAATGATGATGTAACTAAGACACAGCCAAGAGACGGGAGAAAGGCTTACACTGGGTAACTAGATGTCTGCACATGTGAGCAGTGATAAGTGCTTTGTCTTCATCCTTATAAGTCCCCATAGCCTTAATTATAATGATTTTTCTTACCTGGATTTCATTTCCAGAACTGCAGTTATTTCTTGTTTGGAAGCCTGTACCTGGTGTAAGAGCTTAACAATATAGTTACAGTGTTCTGGGTCAAGCACCATCCCAGCTTCAACAAGCTGTAGAAGAGAAAAAACATTTTTCTCTTTAGCCTTATGTAGTCATCCTTATAAAAATATGAAAGAGTTGAAAACCAATGTGTAAAACAACTAAAAGACTGATGGAAGAAGTGAAAACAAGTAGAATTAAAACTCCTTAAAAAATTTAAACCCATGTTTTCTTCAAATATTTGAGAGCCACAGTAAGACACTCTACTTTAAGAATTTAAAGCAAAAATGAAAACAGTAATTTGAATTTGAAACTTGAATGTTCTCCCTGTTCTCCAAGTCATCGCAAGTTTTGTCACTTTACGCCTCGTTTGGTACTCATTCCATCGTTTAGCATAGCACTGATGTATACTTTATCCCCATGGTAAATTTCCTGAGAAGCATCAAACTGAGGTTTTCTGCAGCTACTAGAGGTGATCAGTAATTTCTGATTCAAAAAATTTCCAGGCAAGTAATTCTGTCATATTTCGTAATGTGGAACTAGAGGTATTCACTGAAATATTTGTTCACCTGCTGGAGTAGTTCCAATGCTGCTTCCCAAAGAAAATGAAGGGCTTTCCTGCTATTAGGCCTATTCTGAAATGGATGACTGGGTAGTACCAAATACTAGGAAGTATTCAAAAGTGAAAATTTTAATATATTTTTAGAGAGCCATATTTTTTTTGTTTATGCAAAATATAAAATTCCTAGCCACCATTTCCTATTTACTTTTAGTCATGATTTTTTATTTATATATTTATTTATACACTTATTTTTGTTAGAAATGACCTCAAATTTTTTGTAAGAATTTCCTGTAATCATCCTTAAGGTGCAGATATGAGGATAGTTCATGAATCAGAAAGAAGTCACCTGAAGTACTTGGAACTATTTATTTATGGGGAAAGGCCTCTCAGTCACTAGAGTCTATTTATAAACCCTATTTCAGGAGAAAATAAACATTTCTGAAAATGGAATTCTTCGGTATAAAGAATGTGAATAAAAGGCATTTTAAGAGTGAAAGTGGAAATCGTTATTTTCTTGAAAATAGTTTCTTTCTAAATCATTGTTTTCACTGATTATTGACTATCAGAAAATAAAAAGATAAAATAAAATTATACCTTGCAAAAGATATCAATTAAAGCAGGTACAGCACTCCTTAATTTCATAGTTGCCACGTACTCAAATATTTCTAGTAGTATTTTCAGAGCAGGCTGGATAAAACAAAAAAAATTACACTAATTTTCTTGCCTTCTTTCAGTACATTTTAAGTGTCTCAAATTTGTTTATGCTGAGAAATACAAGTGTTCTCTAGGACATATTTAACAAACATGGAAATTGAACTGCTAAATCATATAAAGAGTTATAACAGGAATTAACTTAGAATATTAAAAATTATATATTTTCAGGTTACTTACCAGCGTGTTAACCATTATGCTGAGGTTCAATACCTGAAATACTTCTTTTAATAAGCAATGTTTGAGTAAAGAATTCAGAAGGTCATTTAGCACTTGTAAATCAAAGTGTACACCAGGAGGAAACTTTCTGTAGTACTCCATAAACATGTTTACTGAAAATGAAAAAATATATTAAAGTTATTTGCTACTTTTAAGATAGTCATCTTTCGTAAATTTGACTTTTTTTTTTCTATTTTAAAAGACTCAGTAGAAATTATTTTCTTGAAAGGTACATTTCCAGTATCACACATATCTGATGAAAATAATTTAAAGCAAAAGTTAATGGCAATGACATTTGAAGTCAACCATACTTTAGGAACTAGATTGGAAGTTAACTCATGTGCTCTCCACAAAAAAATAGGTCCAAACTGCCTCATACACCATGGTCTCAATATGAACTCCCAGGAAGTCATGGTCCCAGGGAGTCTTCAGGCAGTAGGCCTGGTGATGTATGAGAAACTGTGTAATTTGGGGATGGATGCAGGCTATTTTGACATATACCCCTTCTTGTTTTAACCCCACCAACATGTTGACCCTGGGGATATTTATTCCAGCTTATGATTATGAGCATTTTACTAAAAATTACAACACCGATTAATTTCCTTTGAGAAAGTTTAATGTCAATTCAATTCCTTAATCAATTTTCTATACTTAAACCATTTCTAATTTTTCCTAATTTTACTAAAATTTTAATTGGGATCACTTCATTGATTATTTTTTCCCCAGTTCTAAAATTTCCCAAGGTCAAAAATCTATACATACCTTCTCGGAAACTGCTTTAGTAAAAATTACTTTGGGTTTTATTTTTGTGTTATTTCTGCCCCAAATACTTAGTACTCCCTGGATTACTTACTTGGTGGTGTTGCTTGGGAAAGTCAGTAGCTACTGATAAAATTCAATAGCATAATAGAAAAGTTAATGTTGAAGTTATAACTTTCAACAACTTAATACATTATGATAATATTCAGCTTTATTCTAAAGTTTTTTTAATATACTACAATCTTTTTCCTAGCACATACAGAAAAATTCTTCCTGCTATTCACTTTGCAATATCTGTATAGCTGCCTATATAAGAAATTCAACAGATAACACGGGATATTCAATGTCTGCTACTATAACTTTTAAAACTGAAACTGCAGAAGGTATAGTTGCAAAGAATTTGTTAGCTAGTGTTGTAGTCCACTAATAGACATGCATCTCTCCTTTATTTCTGACATTACTTTTAAAATTTAAATTTAAATATAATTTCTTCTTTAATTTTTATTTTTTAATTCTCACCTGAGTATATGTTTTTATTGATTTTTAGAAAGAGAGGGAGAGAGAGAAAGAAACACCGATGAGAGAGAAACACTGACTGGTTGCCTCCCATACACACCCCAACCGGGGATGGAACCCACTACCTAGGTGTGTGCCCTGATTGGGAAGTGAACCTGCAACCTTTTGGTGCACAGGATGATGCTCCAAACAACTGAGCCACCCAGCCAGGGCACCTATTTTTAATTCTAAGACCAAGAGCTATTCTAAGGCATTTGGTTTTCATACTTAAAAGTACTAAACTACTTTCAAACTGTAAGACACAATAGCACATTGTTTGAAACACATTAATGAATTTATAGTAATCATTCCATTGTCTCTAACCTGCACGTTGTAGCAAACACAGCTCATTGATACTTATATATTTCTTAAACACATCCATGCAAACCTGCAAAACTCATGAAAAATGTAAAATTACCTTTTGATATGTCACAAAACGATACAAATTTCAATCCTATCTTTATGCTTATTTCAATTTTTTAAAATGAACTTAAAGCAATAGAATAAAGAAGCTGATGTCAGGTTAACTCAGATCTGAAATGTATGCTGAATTCATTACAAAACCTTAGTAAGAGAAGCTCTGTCAAAGTCAAAATCATAAGCAACTGAAGAAGGGAGGAAAATCCTTGAACATTATAATAAACCTTATTTAGGTCATTTAAAAAAAAACAAACCATTTACTGACTCAAGGATAAAACATTGACCAGTGGATTAGAACAGAGCACCTAGAAACAGACCCTCACATACACAATCAGCTGACTTATGACATGGTGACACTGAAGTACAGTGGGGAAAAATAGTCTTTTTAGTAAATGGTGTTAGGTGACCTAGGGATCCACATGGGAAAAAATATGTATCTTGACCGTCTCACATCATAAACAAAAGTCAATTCTGTATGGCTTAGAGTTTTAAATGCAAAAGATAAAACAAAACTTTGAAAGGGAAAACAAACATCATCATGACCTTGACAAAGATTTCTTCAACAGGATGTGAAAAATTAACACCATAAAAAAAACTGGACAAAAAAATTAAGAAATTCTGTTGATCAAAACACACCTTTAAGAGAGAGAAATGGCAACTTGTGAAATAGTAAAAGTTTTTTTGCCATATATATATATCCAACAAACAACTTATATCCAGAATATGTAAGAGATTCTTAAAACGGATAAGAAAAACAGTCCCATAGAACAGAGGCAAAATATTTAGATATTTCCAAAAAGGGGATATCCAAATGCCCAATAAATATTGTGAAAGCTGCTCTGCTTTCTGTGATCAGCAGGAAAGGCCTCACTCCCCACCCACCAGGATGGCTGAACTTTAAGGGCCATAATACCAAGAGCTGGGGAAGATGTGAGGCAACCAGAACTCCTGGACATTGCTGGGGAGGGGGTGGTTTGGTCAACTGCTGTGGAAATGTTTGGCAGTGTCTACTAGAGCTGCACAAACCTACGCAGACCCTATGACCCTGCAATTCCAGTTTTAAGTATAACCCGTCGTCATAATGTGGACATATGCTCACCAAAAGACATGCAGAAGAACACTGGCAGCATCACTCTTGTAATTACCAACCTTAGAAACTACCCAAATGCCCATCAATAGTATATTTATCAACAAATGTATTTTTATATGCTCACACAAATGGAATTTCAGTATTATATAGCAATTAGCAAGAAGTGTCTACAATTAAGTAAAATAGTTGAATATCAAAAATACTGAGCCAAAGAAGCCAGAAACAAAATGTACATAAAGCACAAAATCAGGCAAAGCATCTATTAGGAGTAAAGGAAAATCTAAATTAAAACATGGCTGAGATGGTTATTAAAACAATCTCTACTTCAAAGACTTTACATACTTTACCTTTTCATCCCCTTGCTCAGGCACGTGAGCAAACTTGCACTGTGATCGCTCACAGCCACGTAATGTATTAAAATGAAATTTGCAGTATCTATGGGGTATCATCAACCCTAGGGACTTCTGAAACACCTAGAAAATAAGACAAATTCCCTTTCTGTGTGAAATGTAGAACACTTATATTCAACTGAGAAAACATTTGAAGTACTCAGAAATATATACCCCAAACAGTACCAAGATAAACTTGCTGACTTGATAAAAAATAAAACTCCAATTTATCCTTAAAAATGATGAAAAAATCAATTAAAGTGTCTGAATTTTTACAATTTCCCTTAGTGCAAAATAGTCAAAGTTACTAGTTTTAACTTTGCATCTTTTAAAAAGCTTATATATTCCCTCTTCCTTCTTGTGTACCTGCACCTTTTGCTTTCACAAAAAGACAATAAGCATCATATTTCAAATGCATTTATTAGAACCAAAATTTCCCTTAGCTTTTTGGGTTAACAGAAAAAGGCAAATGACAGAGTCAAAGCTTTTTGCGATAAACTTCTATAAATTGCTCTCTATCACTATTCCCTTTCATCACAGGGAATATTCATCCTGTATTTTCTGTTTTGGATATCCACCCCCCTCTTCTGCTTTCAACCTCTTATGTTATTTGTGAATATCCTCTGAATCACTACACATTTTCTGCCTCTTACCATCAACCCCAATTCAAAATCCATACAATGTCTGGAACTGCTTAAAAAATGATAGGGAAATACAACAGAAAGGCCCAAAGTATGTGCTTTATAAGATTATTTTTTACATTATTCTTAATCCTCACTTGAGGACATGTTTAGAGAGATGGAAGGGAGGGGGAGAGAGGGAGAGAAACATCATTGTGAGAGAAAAACAATGATCAGTTGCCTGGGAATCAAACCGACAACCTTTCGATGCACAGGATGACACTCAACCAACTGAGCTACTCCGCCCGGGCAGATTATTAGTTTAAGGGGGGGACTTACCCTTACAATCTTTTCCCTCTTAAATATTTCAGAGGTCTCAGGATTCTGCAACTTTAGGACACAATGCTGTCCTGGAAATCTGGTATCTAAAAGTGATTAAGAATGACATTACACACCAGTAGGTTACAACTTATTTCTTTCATGCAATGAACCAGATGACTACCGCTATTTGCTTTTAAGTGTCACTTGGGACTATTCATGCTCAGTTCAGACTGTGCGGCCATGGGGTATTCTTGTGAAATAGACTAGGTGCTCCATGAGTATTTCAAGACTTAAATTTAAAATTTATAATAAGCTGAAGACACTTTTTTAAAAGCCTTACACAGCAGCATTGAGCACTGCATTCAAATGATTGTCTTTAAACAATACTTTAGACAAGTAGTATACACAATAAACTTTTCTAGGGGAAGCAAGCTACTGACATCCCAGGTGCTTCAGAATAAACTGTGCCCCCTCAAATTCACATGTTCAAGCCCTAACCCCCAATGTGACTTTATTTGGAGGTAGGGCTTTGTCTGGAAGTATTAAGGTTAAATGGGGTCAAAAAGGTGATAGAATTAGTGTCTTTATAAGAAGAGACACCAGAGAGTTTGCTCTCTCCATCTCTATGCACATGCACTAAAGAAAAGGCCATGTGAGGACTTAGCAAGAAGGCAGCCATCTGCAAGGCAGGAAGAGAGCCAGAAACTGAACCCTGCTAAAACTTTGATCTTGGACTTTTAGCCCCCCAAACCATGCAAAGTAAATTTTTGTTGTTTAGCCACCCAGTCTGTGGTATTTTGTTATTGCATCCTGAGCTAATGAATACACCAGGCATTATATTCCTTAATGTTGGGCTTTTTAAATGAGAATTAGGACATAAAAAAGTTTTAATTTTATCTTTAGAAGAAAGTTTAATTTTAAATAATTTTTTTTTTTTTACTTTGGCAGCGTCCAGATATAATTTGGAACAAGCTTAAGTTTTTGCTGCATAGCTTTGCAGTAATTTGCATTATGAAACCTGTAAGCTTTTCAAGATAAAACACATAACCATCGTGGGCTTGCTGCTATGGTATATAACACCAAGTAGCATGAAGTCAGTAGTGGGAAGGTACAGAAGAGTTAGGTGTGAGCTACACAAACAGGTTTTATTGTTTCTAAGTTCATTCCTCAGCTTAGCTTATTTTTATCAAAACATTATGAATTATTAAAAGAACTGACACAAATTCTAAACTACATTCTAAATCAACTAAAGTATAAAATTTTAGATTATTACCATTATCACATAAATACAGATCTCAGAAATTCCATCAAAAGTACTAAGTAAAGATACACAAGCCTTTTAATTTTAATATATTCTATGTTGTTGTTTTTTTACTTTTTTTATTCTTGGTAGAAAAATTTCCTATATAAGTTTTTATATTATCAAAAGCAAACAGGATTTTTTAAGAAAACAGTACCATTCATCCATGGCTTTACTAGTGTGTCTTCTTGAACAGCACTTGGATTATTCAAAGGTGGTAGCGATAAGCACAGAGGTTTGGGGCCCAGTGTTGCTAATTGACATTCACCAAGCGTAATCTCTGCATTTTTAGAATCTTTGCTATGTGAGCAGAAAAACCAAAATCAGAACTTAAATTTATTCCAAAAACATTAAAGTAATGAGAATCAAATTAAGTAGAAACACAACCTAATGCTTTGTATATGCTATATATCATTATACTATGATTATCCAGAATTTAAGGGTTTTTAGAGAGAGAAGAAGGGGTGGGGGAAAGAGACATTTGTGGTTCCACTTATTTATGCATTCATTGGTTGATTCTTGTATGTGCTTTGATGGGGTATCGAACCCATAACCTTGGTGTATCAGGATGATGCTCTAACCAACTCAGATACCTGGCCAGGGCCAATTATTCAGTATTTTTAACAGGTTGTTTCTGCCTTCTTGACTAGAAAACCAATGTTTGTTAAATGACTGGGGTAGGGGTAGGAATGAGGTGGTGGGATTAAAACTAGAGCAAAATATTTTTGATCACACCAGACAAAAAGTTTGAGGAAGAACTGGCCTAGCATTCCAATACAGAAGAGATCATTCAATTACTTTGAGAGTGCAATAAAATAATTATAAATTATTCTTCAGGACAAGTATATAATAAATTTAGACATGTACTTGAAAGCTTCCTTTGGGAAGTAAAAACATGTGTTGTTCTTGGTTGCTCATTTAAACAGCTTTGACTACATTCTAATGTGAGATTCTCTACAAGCAACTTTAGAAAAACTTAACCTGGAAGTCACTTATCTAGAAAAGATAACTTAAGCAAGGGGGGGGTGGTGGGAAGCATCTCAGAACTGACAGGTATAAATGAATTTACTTTTTAGAAGATCACTCAGATACTATAATATTTTACCTTAAAAACAATTCTAATAAGCTTTTTCAATTGGGGTTCCCCAAGACAAGAGAGAATAAAAATAGTAAGAAAAGGGGCCTACACTTACCAGTTGAAAGTTAGCATCAATGGAGTTTAGTTTTAAAAAATACATATAAAATATATTTACTTCTCTCTCCAACTTGGGACATCATTGGTATGTGCAATCAATATAACTCTCCTCCAAATAAAACAAAAGCAGTAACAAAACAAAGAAATAGGAATATAGAACTTTATAGATGGAAAAGATTCTCCAGTAAAATTCTTTAATTTTTAATTGGATGACTGAAGCCCAGGGAAATGACTTGCCCAGTGTCACACTCGTGGTCATTACGGTAGAGCCAAAGTGATGATAAAATTCTGCAGGCTGCAATAACACTTTTTAGTTTGTAAGCAAAATGCTTTCAATAAAAAAAAAGTTAACCCTGTTCCCTTTTCTTTAAGATCTATCAAATTGTCATGAATCATATTGGGCTTCTGTGCCAATCTAATTCTTACTTAGGCTTTTCCTTACTATAATGGCTCTCAAACTTCAGTATGTATCCCGATCAGCTGGTGGCCTTGTTGAAACAGATTCATGGGCCTCATCTTCAGAGTTTGGGATTCAGTAGGTCGGGGGTGGGACCCAATAATTTACATTTCTGACAAGTTCCCACATGATGGTGCTGCTCCAAGGATCACACTTTGAAAACCACTCGCTTAACATAAAATACTTGAACATAATCATCACTTGATCTGTGTGCTTTGGCCTCAATAGCAAAATGGGGGTGGAGGATGGTTCAGACTGTCTCCAAGGTGTCCTCCAACTCTAAATTTGGTATCTGTATATGTTCTAGGTAAGTGTACTGCAACTATCAGTACTAATCACTGCAGTCATGTAAAATACCTGCAAACTGCAATGTTCATCTGATTTCAGTCACTTTTACTTTCATAAAAGTCACACACATATTCTTTATTCTTATTATTCCTTATGCCTTCCTCAAAAAATATTTTAAGGGTTCAAAAAACTTAGTGACAGCTTTAAGGTAACTTATAATATCCCTGATATCTAGGTATAATTGACACATTAAATAATGCCCATGTGTGGCTAATGGCATAGTCCCAGCACATACAGCAGAAAAACACATTCAAGATGCAAGTTATAACTGTTTTAAAGTTACATAATTAAAAATTATGTTACAGACCTTTTGCAAACTTCATGCATATTTTCCTTTTCTTCTTTAACAGTCACTTTGTCTGAAAATTTACACTGTGAAGATATGGTTAAAAATTTCAAGTGAAAATATCTGTATTCCATATTAAGCTATGAGGCTTACCAGGTTTATTAGAATGTATTAGATGTTAAACAAATGGCTTATAGCCAACCCCGAAAACAATTCTACACTCTACATTATTAAAATATTGAATACTGACTTAAGAATTTCCACTGTTGCTTAAGAAAAACTAATGCAAATCAATGTATTTTCCCAGCTTTTGATATCACTTTTTATTATACAAGTCAAGATTTCAAGTTATGAACTATTCAAGTTACGCTTTTTAAAAAAAATTTTATTTTAGAGGGAGAGAGGGAGGGAGGAACATCCGTTTGTTGTTCCGCTTATTTATGCATTCATTGGCTTATTCTTATTTGTGCCCTAACTGCGGGATCAAACCCACAACCTAGGCTTATCAGGACAATGCTCTGACCAACTGAGCTGCCCAGCCAGGGCTATGATTCTTTCCATTAAGAAAAAAAGTTTTGGGTAATTTTTATTTTAGGTGGTACTTAAGAACGTAAGTTTTATCATTAGAAATATTTATATGTATTTAGGTCTTAATTCTGCTTCTGGTCAGATGGAGGTGTCTTTGCTGAGGTGTCAATTGCAAGTGGCCTCAGGGGCATCTTTAGGAGTCAGCAACATGGCAGAAGACATCAAGACCAAAATCAAGAACTATCAAGACTACCCCTTTTGACAGCTGCTTCCCCAACCAGAACCAGACCAGGAACCGTTGGCAGAAATACCTGGACTTCCACCCCTTTGAGAAGGCAGTGACTGCTAAAGGGGTTGATGGCTCAGTGTACAAATGGCACTGTGTGTGTACAAGACCCTTTGCCCCATATCATGGGTGTCAACCTGGGATGACTGCCGGGCAGAAGGCATGTTTCCTGGGAAGATCTCAACTGGCTGCACCCCATCTGTCCTCTGTCTTTCTCCCAGGGAGGTGAAGAGGGAACTGGGTATATCCTACTCTATGATCCCAAATCATGGCTTAATAATACATACTTGTTGGAAAAGTAGAAGACTATGTAAAGAAGCTGGATGACTGGGAAAGAAACTGGGTTGGAAATAGTACCTGGACCAGTAAGAGAGGCTTCAGAGTGAATATTTTTGTCACGTTTTAAATTTTTATCAAAATTTGACTACCTCCTCTGTGCCAGACAACAGTGAATGATTATATGAAATACCCTCAAGCCCCTGTATGCACTAAAATTTATCTGTATGTTCCCTTATCTGTATAATTTAAAAAATTTAATCATATAATAAAAACACATAAAAAGAAACATATGTATTTAAAACATTGCTATACTTAAAGATACTGAAGGTAGCAAAAGTGAAATAAAAGATAGGTATTTATATGATTTGCAGGGTGGAAAAAGCCTAAGCATGACACCAAAGGTAGAAACTATGAGTTACGGCACCAACAGGTTTGAATACCAACATTTAAAATCCTCTTATATGGCGAGAATACAAACGGCACAAAAGCCATCCAAGCCATCCATCAGAGTCAAGAAAGGCTGCACTGATTCTACGTCTCCGCCTCCCAAGATAAGGTTTAGATTTAGACTGATTTAAACACACCACCACCAAAAAAACAAACCCACTAGAAGAAAATATGGGAGAAAATTTTTGATCTAAATACGACTCATAACTCAAAGATCATAGAAGAAAACTGGTAAGGCTGACTAAAAATAAACAGCTCCTTCAAGGTAAAAAGCTCCTAAACCAAGTCAAAAGACACGAAAAACAAGAGTATAGCCACATAAGACAAAGAACAAATGTGTTTAATATGTGAAGTTCCTACCAATAAAAGTTCACAATCCCAGAACAATGGGCAAAGGACATATAAAGGAAGTTCACAGAAAAAAATATAAATGGTTTTTAAACATTAAAAGATACCTAACTAGGCTCATAAGAGAAAAGCAAATTAAGACTAAAAATCATTTGTAAAATGGTTTTGTCCACAGAAATATGGACAAAAGGAAAAAATTTAATACTGAGTTGGTGAGTGTGTGGGGAGAAAACTGGCATTCTCATTCAATGTTGTTGGACGTATAAATCAAAGCAATCTATGTAGGCCAATCAGACAATCCTACGTCTAAGAATTAATCCAAAAATGCTTACACATAGGCAAAACACCTTATGCTCAGAATGCATACTGCAGTAATATTTAAATAGCAAAAAATGGGAACCAGTGTCCATCATAGCTGGACTTACTGAACAGAGTATGTCCATACAGTGGGTAATTATAAAAATAAAGCACCATTACATAAGATGTAATAAAGATTTCTTTTCAATGTAAGTTTCAGGAAGCAAGATAAAGAATGGTATGCTACCCTTTGTATAAAATTAAAAATACACAATAGGTCCACTTTGAGAAATGGCAGAGTATCTCTTACTGGGCTAATCATTCCAAAAATAACAACTATAAACCCTGGATGAAATATAAAATATTACTGCCTGAAAGCACTGAAAAGATATGAAAACCAGGCAGAATCTGGAGGGGAGTCTACACTTGGAAAGAGGGAATGGCACTGGGTAACGGTCCTGTTTTTATGGCTTTATTTCTGAAGGCAGGTCCTAGTTGGAACCACTTGGGAGGGCCACAAGTTTGCCCCACTTACATAAAGAACCAGAAGGCAGAGTTTAAGGCAAAGGCAGAAAATGGGAAGTAAAGGTGAGAATCCTAGAAAGGAGAGAGAGACTAAGATAGGAAGCCCTAAAATCTCCTTACAAGTTTAGTCCAAATCTCTGCTAACCCTTGAACTTTAACTATGTAAGGGAGACTCCAAACAGCCCAGCTAAAAGAACTGAGCAAAGATTTCAACTGCCTGCTACTACAGGGGAGTAATCTGGAGCATAAGTTCACTCAATTTAAAACCTAAGCATGCAATTACCACACAACCCAGCAATTGCAGACCTGGGCATTTGTCCCAGAGAAAGTAAAAATTAGGTTCGCACAAAAACCCATACACAAATGTTTATTTGTAATAGCCCCAAACTGGAAACAACCCAGATATCCTTCAATGAGTGTATAGCTAAATAAACTGTGGTAAGCCATACCATGGAGTGTTATTAAGCAATAAAAATGAATGAACTATTGATACATGCAACAAACTTGATGAATAATATCTAGAAGATTATACTGGGTGAAAAAAACCCATTTGAAGAGGTTCCATACTGTATGATTCCATTTATATAACATTCTTGAAATAAATTATAGAAATGGAGAACAGATTAGTGGTTGTAAAGGGTTAAGGAGGGAAGGAAGTAGGTAGGGCAATAAAAAGGGCAACATGAGGGATCCTTGTGGTGATGGAAATGTTTTGTAACTTGGCTATATTAATGCCAGTGTTCTGGCTGTGCTGCTGTACTGTAGTTTTGTAATGTCATTTGGGAAAATTGGGTAAAAGGTACATGAGATTACTATGTGTTGTTGTTTTTACAACTGCATGTGAATCTGCAATTATCTCAAAATCAATGATTCAATTGTAACCTTAAGAAACTGCAAGAAGAGCAAATTAAATCCAAAGCAAGCAGAAGAAAGAAAAGGATCAGAGCAGAAATCAGTGAAATAGGAAACAAAGCAATAGAAAAAAATAAAACCCAAAGTCAGTTCTTTTGGAACAGTAATAAAATTAATAACCTTCTAGCCAACCTCCAACGAATCTACCTTTATTGCAGAATACCAAAATTACAGAGATGAAAAATATTAATGATTGCTAAGTTATGCATGTTAGGGGTAGCGAGGGAGGTGTGACTAAAGACAAGGGAGATTTTTGTAGTGATGGAATAATTATCTTGATTGCAGTGGTGGCTACAAAAAATCTGCCCACTTGATAAAATACACGAAACTATATACATTCATCGTACTAGCAAATTCTTGTTTCTGGTATTGTACCTTAAGATGCAGCCATGGGAAAACTATGTGGAGGGTACTCAGACCCTCTTCTTTACTACTTTTGCAATTTCCTGTGAATCTAAAATTATTTCAAAATGAAAAGTTAAAAATAAGAAGTACAATAATATTTTAACTATCTGGGGCTCAAAATTAGAATCATTAAGCAATTACTACTTAATTCTAAATCTAAACTGTTACATATAAATTTTGACTATAACTGATACATAGAAGAAAAAAAACAAGGTCTCTGGAAAAGTGTGTGTGTAATGTCTGTGTATATGTATGTATTCATGTGTACATATATATAATATTTATATTACATGTGTACATGAAATTGATAAAGCATTTCTAAAAATTCACAGAAAACCATATATAAAAGCAGAGAAGTAGTAGGTCAGGCCTATGTCCTATAAGTCAACCTATTTGCCCTCTAAAGTTCCTAAAACTCTTACTGTGTTTAGGTAAAAGATATAGCCTGTGGCCAGAATATGATTCTTTCAGTCAATAAAAAGTAGTTACACTTGTCATCTGATGACACTATTAAGATGAGTTTCTGTATTACCACTATTTATAGACCAAAAAGTAAGAAAATGCGAAATATTCCCTAGTACCTTTTCATCCAAGTCTGAATTTTTTATGTGTTCAATGAAGTCTCCCAGTTTTTCATTTTGAGAGGTCCTATTAACTTCTCCTAAGGAAATGTTTACATCTTTAAAATCATATTTTATCTCATTTGCTGAAAAGAAATAATATTCAACTGTAGAAACTACAAATGACAAAATAACCAAGTCATTCAAAGATTATCCTAAAAATGAGTTAGAATTCAGAAAGTCTTTTAAAGTCCAATATGACAAATATGAAAGTTTTTAGCAAATTATACAGTTATTCCTCTTTATCAAATAACTCCATTATATGGCATAAAAAGAACTGGCAGTAAGACGAAGTTGAGACATGTCAAGATAAATTTTAAGTCTTTCTTGATCATGTCCAGTTGTTTAATATATTTTTAAAACTTGGAAGCCAAAGTAAACTTAACTTTCAAATTAAGTTATTACCTGTAAAGCTCTAGGTATTTAAACCTATAACTAGATATTAAAAAAATTTAAAAGAACTCAGATTTAAAATGTGCTAAAGCTTATATATAAGACTACAAACATTGCTAAGGTCAATAATTTATCCTTTGTAGATAAAGCTTAACAAAGTTATTTATGAAATAAAAAATTTCTCAAAATCTGATCTGCCAACCAGGCCATTAGAACTGAGAAAAAACTAAGTGAAAAGCTTCCTATTTTAATGAATTTATTTTGACTATGCCTGAATCGAGATATGAAAAGATACTTCAATACTGCATACTCTGAAAATGTCAAGTTTTACCTGCTGGCAAGGAAGTACAGATCTCTGACTTCATCAATCCAGGATCCAATACAGGAAGTTCTCTATTACAAAGCAAACAGAGCTTAAACATTATAACATTCTATGCAGATCTGGTTCTCTAGACATTATACAATACTAGCTTTAGTAGCTGGTGAATATTAGCTCAGGTCCTCCAAGAACAGAACTATACTGGAACTCAGAACCCAGCACACCCAAGTAGATTCCTCATTTGGTCCTTCAATTTCATGTGCTTCAATTGTTAGGGATGCTGCCATTCAAACTTTGTTACTCAGAATCTGATGACATACAAAGTATTTAAGAAAATTTTAAGTATTACACCAATACAAGACAATGTTTAACTTTTACTTTCAAGTATGTGTAGGTATGTCTTATTGCCAATGTAAAAGGAAGATGGTTTGAGAGCAGTTTGAATTTTGTTTTGTTTTTGTGGTTTCTGAAAACATATGGTCCAAAGGTTAAGCTATGGAGATCAGAGTTAGACCAACCTGGGTTTAAATACTGTTCTGCCACTTTGCGTGTTAACTGTGACAAAATTATTTAACTTCTTTGAGTCTATTCATCTCTGTAAAATAAAAATACCACCTACCACGAGGTTATGTTAGGATTAAATGAGATAAAATTTCCTTAAAGCCAATAGCATAGGCTACAAATGAAAACCATGTGTACAGGATCCATTTGAAAACAAATGGCCAAGTACTGTTCCATTTTTTTAAAATTTAGACAAAAATACAAAAGCACATAGAAAATATCATAAACACCCATAATCCCACCATTTATTCATTTAATAAATGAGTTTTATTAAACGTATCCTAAATAGCCAAGAAAAAGGAAAACTGAACATTTTATATACACCATTCTTTAAAGTCTTTATAAAATGAAGTATTTTTCCCCCAACATAAACCCTAGAAGTAATAAGTACGCAGTTTGAGGAATGGGAAAATAAGAATGGAAGACATATCCACATGCAAATCTCCTTTTCCAATTCATACCCCTTTAGACTGGTATCTGTCTACTACAACATTTCCATTTCATTATTTCAAAGGTCTCTCCAATTCAACAATTTGACCTCATGACCAGTACTCCTCCCCAATCCTGTCCTTTTGCATCAAAGGACTGTAATGCCCCTCTTTAAAATGAGAGAAACCAGGTTATCATCCCTAACAGGCCCATCTCTGGCCTCACCCCCGCGTAATTAATCTATATTTCCTAAAGTTCTCTCAAATCCACTCCCACTTCTGTTTGAAATCACCATGTTTTTAAAAATGGATTGATTTTAGAGAGGAAGCAGAGGAAGGAGGAAGAAGAAATACTATTTGTTGTTCTACTTATTTATGCATTCATTGGTGGATTCTTATATATGCCCTGACAGGGGATCAAACCCGAAACTTTGGCATATCGGTACCACACTAACCAACTGAGCTATCCAGTCACGGTAACCATGTCCTTTTGTTCTAAATTACAAGAGCTCCCTTCCAATCTATTCTCCACAACAGAGCTACGATTTTTAAAATACAAGTCTAAAGATATATTAAATAAAAACCCATAAGTCTAATTAGATTTTCTTGCTACTTAAAAGTCCTTCAGTGAATCCCTGTATGTACTTAGGCTAAAGTTCAAACTTACTGTAAATTCCAGTTTACCTAGGGTGGTCTATTTATGCCTGTTTTCCTGGCATATTAATTATTAATACTTCCCCATTACCATCTTAAAAGTTTTGCACTTCAGAAGTTCTATGGTATCCTACTTGTAAGGCCTTTCATGCCTGAGATTTCTGCACATTCTGCAGCTTTGCTTCTTGCGATTTGAACACTAAGCCATGGGACGTTGTTTTTCAGTTGTGACAACATGCCCTTCCTGTGGGCTTTCATATAGGCTATTCTTTCTATGACAAAATTCTATTCACTTTTCTTCACCTACTGGCAAATTCCTACTCATCCTTTAGTGTTCATTCTTAAGTGTCACTTTGACCAGGACATCTTTAGTATCTTGTACTTTTATCCTGTTTTATTGGACTTGCTTATTTTCCTCCCTGTGTGAACAAGGCCCATGTCTGTCTAGTTACGCTCCATATACTCGGCACTTAAAATCCTCCTGGCCAGACATGAGGGAGACCCAAATGAAGATGCCTCTCTCCTATCTAGAAATTCCCAGTAAAAGGGGGAGATTTACATACAAGCAGACATAATATACTGAGGTATATGCCAAGAAAACTATTAGAACAAATCCCTAGAAAAACATCTGATGTGATTTGAAGGATAACCGAAGGAAAAGGGACTTCCAGATAAAGAAACATAAGCAAAAGGATTCAAGTACATGACATATTGTGCAAACAGTGAGCTTCTTGCTGTGCTTATCTTTTATTAGCCTTTTACTCCCCTTTCCTACCCCTCCAACAAAGTGGCTGCTAAAGAGAAAATGGATGCAGGTCTACAGAGTGCTGAAAGCCAGTGGAGTACTGTAAGTAGTTACTGACAAATAAGTTTTTATCTCATAGGAACACTATGAAGAGGGTACACTTATTACAATAATCTAAGGGAAGGAAGAGTAAGACACCAGCAGTGAAAATTGAGAGGAAGGAAAATCGTGAGATCATAAGGTAATAGTATGCATAGGATTAAGTGACTCAATAGAGAAGGAAGGGATGTTTCTGTGGTTTCTCACTATCCTGAAAATTACCTTCATAATAGGCATTAGCTTCAGACATAAGAGGTTATTCCTGACAAAAACAAAATAAATAGTATATCAAAATATACTGCTTTAATTTCAAAGATCATATTTTTTATAATGCTGATAGTTTATAAGTGTGAGAAATGTTTTACTATGACTAATTTACAAGTAAAATTGCACATGCCACTTTTGTTACAAGAAAATTAGTTTTGTTTCAAATTTGAGATATAGACTAAATTCACCTAAATTAAAAAATGAAGTAAGCAAAATTGTAATCCACATAAACATTTTACAGTTTTACATTTGTGGAGTGGAAAGTTCCAGTTCTGCCTTGATGGAGTGAAAAGGGAAACAAATGAAGGGTAGAAGGAGCAAAGAAACCACCAGGTTTCTCTATAGGTTGAGGCTACAGGAGTACAGAGAAGCAAAAGAGAAGGTTTGAGCAAAAAGGAGCGAATGAGAGGCTTCTGAAGAACTACACAGATTACATCAAGTTTATCCTTGACCTGAGAAGTTTTCAACGGGGTGATGAAATTTAATGAGTTCCAACCAGCACTTTTTAAATAAAATAGACTAAAGTACAAAATATGTTACATTACTTGTAGTAAGGAAAATACTGTTTTTGTAAATCTATTTCATATATTCATAAGTGTGCACTGGACTGTAATGCAAAATATATCTTTACTATGGGTAACAGGAAGGTATGAAGATGACTGAGAATTAGCAGGACATTTTCGAGAATAAAATAAATGATATACAAAGCTCTCAGTCCTCCATCTATGTGATGTTACAAGTTCTTGTAACACTAAGAACATGAAGAACACGGCATTACAAAAGTAACTGAAATTTATAAATACCAGAGAAATTTAAGTCACATACTACTGAATCTTAGTGGAAAGTATTTTCATGTTTCCTTTTGAGTTTGTTCACAGACCATTATAATACTCAAGTACTGTAACATACAAATACAAGTTAGAGTTTGGAGAATTATAAGAGCTTAGTAAAATATGACAAACTATTAAAGAATACTTGGGCCACCCCAGAATAGCTCAAGTGCCAGAGCATGAAGGGTACTACTTGGCTCCATTTAAAGCTGCACCAGGCAAACTCACCCTCACTAGGGGCTAAGTCATCATTTAAAACCATGACCTTAAAACCACAAGTTTTCTTCTGAAAATTAGTTTAACTTCCAACTCTACTTTCAAGTCCTAATTACATCAAGTAAACTTTCTGTAACTTATTGTCACAGAAAATAGTTAAAACATGCAGTACTGTTCTTAATAAGTAACTTGGCTGAAACAAAAGTCTGCATATTGACAATAATTAAAGAACATATGAAAATAAATTTAACTTTGAAAGAAGCAATCTCAATTTAAAAAGCCATTTACTAAACCACCATTTTAATTTTGGACAATCTGCTCCATTATAATTTCCAACATATATAATTGTTTTATGTCGACTATAAGTTTTAGCATAATGACATTTCCATGAGTCAGCAATAATATGCTATGTTATATTTAATAACAGGGTTAAAAAAAATGGAGCTTCAATAATCACTGAATAAATTAGTGACACTTAAGAGCAGAAAGTGATTTTGAAACCCCCAATAATAATATGTACCAAAAGGCCTACTTGAACATGCATACCTCAAGTTATCACTTGGTTTTTTTTCGGGAAGTTCCATGTGCTTGGAATCTGCTGATTGGTGCTCTTCAGCAACATTGGGTTCCTGGCTTATCACAGGGACCTCTGAAGTAAATGAGAGCTCCCCTTCGGTGGAGATTCCAAAGAGGTCTGGGTCATCTTGAATTACATCAATTAAGAGGACATCATCTTCATATGCTTTAAGAATATCTGGAATAATTTTAATGTCCGAAAAGTTCTTAGTCGTTTTCCTACCACTAACTTCAGAGGAAACTTGTTTGAATGTTTCTTGTTCAGAGCAGAAGGCAGGGCTTTTCTCTGTACATCCAGGATCATAAAAAAGTGTATTATTTTCAACTGTGAGAGGAACAGCTTTCTTATTGGAAACAATATTGCCTGGTTCAGAGATGTAGTTAGATGGCTTGTTATTATTACCTTGCTTTAAAAAACTTGAAGAGATACTATAGAAATTCTTATTGCAGTATGAGTCAGAACTAGCTTGCACTGTAGTGACATTTTGTATGTTTAAAGATTGAGGTCCTGAAATTACTGTGGAGACGTTTTCTTTATTCCTATTCTGTCTTATCTCTGCTCCAGATATATTGTCAAGAAGCTCTAGGGGACTATATGCTTCTCTGTCTGAAGACTTGGCATTTATTTCTCTTCTTTTTTCTGTTTTATTCTTAAGTAAAGGAATTTTAAAGTTAGTCAGCCGTCCCGTGTTCAATATTTTAACCAAGTCTGGAACCACAAGTGTTGGCTTAGCAGTACATGCTTTTCGAGGAATAGTTTTGCCTGTAGGGTTATTAGGTTCCTGGCCATGCTGGGAAGCCACGGTCAAATTAAGTTTTGTTAGAGTTCCTCTATCTTTTTTCTTACTTCCTATTAAGTTTTGAGTCACATTAGGTAACCGAGTTTCTTCAGTCGTATTAGAAACTACCTCTGACTCACTTTTGCTCAGTTCCTTGGACGTCATCTTTTCATCATCGATCATGGGTTCCTTCATAACAGTTAGAGTAGGTTCTACAGCAGAGACTATTTCAGAGACTGAAGATAAACAATTTACATTAGAGTCCAATTTTTCTTTACTTGAAGATTCACTGTTTCTTTCTTTTGTGGAACTTTGTAATGATAATTTGGAGTCAGTTAAGTCAGTTTGATTTGTTTGGTGTTTAAGAAAGTCATCTTGCCTAAAGCTTTCCCCAGGCCCAGGAAGACAGTAATTTGATTTTGGCAAGGAAGCCTTTTTCCAACAGTGAGCAGATACTCTAGCACATGAATAACAAGGCCAAGTTCTTTTACCCATCATTGGTATTGCTCGGCGACAGCTGAACTTAGGTTCTTCCGCTTCATTTCTTAGGTCTCCCTGAGATCTCTCTTCAACAGCATGGCAGTCACTAGGCGATTTCACTTTCAAGCTTTTCACTGACTTAAAATATTCTTCTGGTTCTGTGCTTTTCCATTCTTTGGGCTCTGAAGCATTCTTGGTTTCTTCTTTCAAAAGTGGCTCTAGGGTTTTCTGAAACATAGTATTTATATGATGCTCAGGACTTGTCTTTTTTCCTACTGTTTCTGGAAGACTTGATAAGTGATGCACTGGAGAGAGTGTATTATGGTTTACTTTTCTCAAGACTTTTGAAGTTTCTGCTTCTTTATCTTCAGCACCCATTTTGTTTTCTTGTAACAGCAACTCAGACTTGTTATGCGCATTAGAGAAGTTCATCCCAGTAACCACCTCATCTGTTTCAGACACCTTCACCCTCTTCCTGGGTTTTCTCCCAGCACCGCTCTCCTCTACGGAGTATGTATTTTTCTCATTTTGAAGGCAGGGAAGCAAGCCATTATTTTTTCTTTGGTATAAATCACTTTCTTCAAGCAGTAATTTATTTACTCCCATGAAGTTTTCTTCAGTTTTTGAAAGCTGAGGAATATTACTTGTGTCCCTTTTATCTGAAAGGCTCCTAAGGCTTCCTTTCTTGAACTCTGAGGAATTTTCTGATACATGAATACATCCACCATCAGAATTACATGTAAGGTTATTTTCATCATTACAATCCTTGGAATGGGGGAAACAACTGCAATCATGTAACTTTAAAACAGAATTATTTTCTACTCCAGGTGACAAGCTGTTACAAGAATATTTCGGAGTATTCTTGTACAGTTCATCTTGGAATTCAACCTTTATATTTTGTGTAGCCTTATTTTCAGTTATTTTGAAAGGTGAACTTTCTAAGCTTTCAAGTGTTTTAATTCGAATTCTTCTTTTAATACCGTCTACCAAAACTTCCTTACCCAAAGACTGCAAGAGAGCTGTACTTTGAAATTCACTGCACTCCACTGTTTGGAAAGATTCCGAACTGGTTAATGATTCCTTTCTTACCAGGTCAGCCCCTGGCTGTGGATCATCACTCGAGGCTTCAGTAACTTTTCTTTTTTCCTTGGCTGATCAAAATGACAAAACATACCAGAGAAGATTTTACATTGCAGAGGAAAAAAGCAATACCACTTAAATTTAAAAAGCCACCCGTTTTTATTTCCCTGAAGTTTCCCTAATTTCTGTTAAGGAACCAATACAAACTTGTATAAATTCTAAGACAACTGAATAACCTCCAGTATCATGGTCATTTCACACTAGCCAAAAATGGGTCACTAACAGGAATTCCTTTTTTAAAAAAAAAATCTTTATTGATCTCAGAGAGAGGAAGAGAGAGGAAGGGAGAGGGGGAGAGAGAGAAACATCAGTGTGAGAGTCACTGATTGGCTGACTCCTCACGCCCCGACTGGGGATCGAGCTGCAACCCGGGCATGTGCCCTGACTGGGAATCGAAACGCGACCTCCTGGATCCTAGGTCGATGCTCAATCGCTGAGCCGCACCCGGCCGAGCAGGAATTCCTTCCACAGTAATTCTGGCCAGGAGCTCCCAACTGGGCAAACATCTGGGAAAGCCCGCGCTCACTCAAGTTAAACACTAGTGGTAGGACAAAGATGGAGCGGGCTGAGGCGCAAAGGCTAGAAAGGGAGCGACCCCTGGGTGCTTTCTTACTGCGCCTTCCTGACTGCAGGGGAGCTTCGCCGCCTCTGCTTCTAAGCCCTGCCGGTCCCACAGGTGCGAGGGGCCTACCTGCTCCCCATCCCCCACCCGCCACCCCGCCGGGCCTTCCCAGCCCCCGCGCCTCACCCGACTTGTCACTTTCCACCTCTTCTCTCTCAGCCGCCCGGGCCACCATTCTCCTCTTCCGCCTGCTCTCCTCAGGCCCCCGGGCTTCGGGGCCGCCGACTCCCACCTCGCTGGTCCCCGGCCGACGGCCTCGCTTCCTCAGGCCTCTGGCAGCGCCTTCACGCCCACCGGACGTCGTGGTGCCCGAGGGCAGTGGCCGCCGCATCGGCCCCACGCTGCCCGCAGCCCGCCCTACCCGCTGAGGAGCCCGCCGGCTGCGCCAAGACAGGGACCAGACGCCTGTCTTGCCGCTCCGCCTCGCCCACCCGCTAGGGCTGACCGGAAGCGGAAGTGGGCAGCGAGGCCCGGCCTGGGCATGCGCTCCACGCGCAACGTGTGGAAGAGCCGCTGGCGCCCTTTGAGGCTTCGCGGTATTGAGGCCTCGCCGCGGCCTGGGTGTGGCTCCGGGTAGCCCGGAGCTTTCGGAACCGTTCTGGGCTCGTCTCCCACCTGCTGCCCCTTATGCCCGGCTGCTCACAAAGCACTGGCAGCCAGTGCGTTCTAGTTGCACCCCAAGCCCGGGTCCCTTCCCATCTGCCCTCCCGCTGCGTTCCCTCAGGTGTCCCGTGGGTACCGCGGGCTCTGGCTGTGCAGACGGCGTCGTGCCTCAGGCTGGAGCGCGGCGGGGTCGCCACCTCCCCCCAGCCGGCGAAGCCGGAAGCCTGGGAACCCGCCGCCGCTTCTTTCCGCTCCACCCCGCAGCCAGGTTCCGTCTGCCCGATTCTGCATCCCGGGGCGTCCGCCACCCCCCCTTCGTCGTTACTCAGCGGGCTCTCGGGCGGGCTGACGGCGCCGGCCTCCAGGCGGAGCTCCCGCCGCCATCCTTGCGCTCTGTCGGCCTCCAGCTGCCGCCGGCCGTGCCCGCCTCGGGAACCTCCTGGGCCCAGACACTGAAGCTGAGGAAGCACCACCTCTTCAGTGTGGGGCCGGCGGCTCCGGGACGTGGTTCCGAGCGTTTAACGAGTTTTGTCTTACTGCCCAGGAGCCGCCCTGCGGCATCGCCCGATTCCGACTCTCCGGGACCGTTTTATAACTGTAAG